TCGCCACCGACTCCCATCCCACTTCTTACCCACTCACAATACCACCTCTTTCCCCCCACTAAACTCCCCTACTTCCCTCACCAAAACACTCCCCTTCAAACCCCACCACACTCCCCTTCTAACCCTAATCTCTCATTCCCCACCATCCCCCAACTTGTTATCCAACCCAACTTGCCTTTTCTCCATCACCCAATCCGTTCCCCCACCACAAACCTACCCAATCTCCCCCACATTAACCTAATATTACAAACTCATTCCCCCTCTACCAACCGATTCTCCGTCCTCATTCCCCCCAACCAAACCTACACCATTTCCCTCAACCAATACCCCCTCCCCACACCATCAACCCTTCTCCCCCTTCTTCTCCCTCCACCAAACTCTTCACCCTCTCTCCCTCACCAACTCCTTTCCTCCCACTCCAGCCCTTCTCCCCCCCTCTTCTCCCACCAACTCTTCTTCCCTCCCCTCCTCCACCAAACACCCCCCTTTCTCCTTTTCACAAAACCGCCATCCCCCTCCTTCCCCCTCTTCCACTCTACAAACATCCCCATTCCCTCCACCCCCTTCCACCAATTTCCTCTCCCCCTTCCCCTCTCCACCTAAACCGCTTCTCCCCCTTCCCCCCTTTTCCCCCCTCCACCAAACTCTTCTCCCCCCCTTCCACCCCCTCCACCAACTTTTTCTTCCTCCCCCTTCCCCCCTCCACCAACCCTTCTCCCTCCTCCCCCCTTCCCCCCTCCTCCCCCCCTTCCCCTTCCCCCTCCCCCTTCCCCTTTCCCCCTCCACCAACCCTCTCCCTCCTCCCCCTTTCCCCCCTCCACCAACCCTTCTCCCCCCCTCCCCCTCCGCCCCCTTCCCCTTTCCCCACCCCCTATCGCGTATGATCACAGATTATTCCATTCGGAAAGACCCTCCCGGCAGCTGATGTGTATATAAAAGTCAATTTACATCCAATATAGGGGGCACGGGCCTGTAATATCAATTTTCTGGTAGGATGCCCCGCCTTGTGAGGGGGAGAGAGGGGGGGGGGAGGGGGGGAAGAAGGGTGGGGAAGAGGGGGGAGAAGGGGCGAAGAGGGGAGGGAGAGAGGGGGTGGGGAGAGAGGGGAGGAAGGGGCGAGAAGAGGGGCGGGGAGGGGGGAGGAGGGGGCGAAGAGAGGGGAGGAGAGAGGGGTGGGGTATGGAGTGGGTGGGGAGAGAGAGAGAGAGGAATATGGAGAGGGTACGGAGGTGAGGAGAGAGTATGGGGGTGAGTATGAAGTAGATGGGGAGAGAGGAGAGAGAGGGAGGTGGTGGTATGATGTGGTTGGGGAGAGAGGGAGATGGGAGTATGAGGAGAGGAGAGAGAGAGGGAGTGAGGATTGAAGAGAGAAGGGTGAAAAGGGGTTAGGGAGAAAGAGAAAAGAGAGAGAGAGAGGTACGGGCATGAGGAGAAGGGAGAAAGAAAGAGAGAGGTATGAGTAGAGGGGGGGAGAGAGAGAAAGCAAAGGAAGGTAAAGGAATTGTAGTATGAGGAAGGAAGAGAAAAAGGAAAGGAATAACAAAGAAAAAATAGGGAAGTAGGTAAGGAAAAGAAAGAGAAAGAGGAAGCAAAGTGAAGAAAAAAGGAAGAAAGGCCTAGAGGGAAGAGAGGAGGGGAGAGGGGGGAATAATTTGGGGAAGGGAAGAGGGAGAGAACGGTAATAAAGGTAAGCATGGGGCGTACGGTGAAGGGAATATGAGGCCGTAAAGCAGAGGAAATAGGGGAGAGGAAGAAGAAGATAGGAAGAGGAAAATAAAAAAGGGAAAAGGGATAAGTAGAAAGAGAAAAGGAAGGGGGTACAGGGAGAGAGAGAGAGAGAGAGAGAGAGAGAGAGAGAGAGAGAGAGAGAGAGAGAGAGAGAGGAGAGAGAGAGAGAAGGAGAGAGAGAGAGAGAGAGAGAGAGGAGAGAAAGAGAGAGAGAGAGAGAAGGCGAAACTATAATAGGAGGAAGAAGAAAAAGCGGAGAAAGGGGAATAGGAAAAACGCGAAAGAGGGAAGGGAAAAAGGAGAGAAGGAGATGGAAAAGAGGAAGGAGGAAGGAGAAAGAGAAAGAGGACAGAGAAGGAGGAAGGAGAAAGAGAAGAGGATACAAAGTATGAAAGAAAAAAAAAAAGAAAGGAAGAAAGGAGACGGAGGTAGAAAGCAAAAGAAGAAGAAGGAAAGAGAAGAAACCAGAAAGTAGGAAAATAAGGCAGATGAAGAAGAAGGAAAGGGGAAGAATAAAGGGGTGGGGGCAAGACGTAGGATAAAGAAGGAGAAAGAGGGAAAAGATCAGAAGGAAAGGAGGGAGGGGGGGAGGGGTTCTGTGACGTCACTTAGTTATACAAGAACATTACTCTAGTTATTTGTTGATGGNGATCTGCTGGCTGCCGTCGGACGATGATGAGTGGCGGGGGCGTTTTCCGATGCAGCTCCCCTCGCCCCCTTCGTGCTGAGGGGAGAGGGGGTGAGAGGGAGGGGGGGAGGGGAAGAGGGAGGG